TTAGTGTGCACTCAGTGCGCACTAGTGCAAGCAACTGAATTCGCTGTCATGAACTCACGATGTTTCTTAGAACACAAGGGTATTTTACTTGATAAGGACCTGTGATTTGGTCGAAACGGTGTAGCTTTTTCCTTAATAAATTAATGAACGTTGTTGAAATCCACTTAAATTCACAATGTCCAATAATGCGGTGTCCAATACTAACGTGTCCAATAGTGCGTGTCCAATCGAGCGGTGTCCAATAGTTACGTATCCAAATGGAGATTACCCAGCTCAACGGCGAAACTTATAACAAATACAATCACATTGCGTTCGTCATGTTTTCGCGCTATACATTGATTGTACACCAAAATTTTTAATTTGTAATCAGGTTTAATTGTAATACTTAAACTTTTTTTACGCTGATGAGGACTCTGTGATGTCCGAAACGTTCGCATTTTAATTATTTTATAAATACAGTTCTTACCGTCACCTTAATTTGCTCGTTTGTTTCGGCCTTTTGTTCCCTAATTAATAAATTAATCTCTTGCCAGTTCGGTCGACTATAAGTTTGCAACTTATTTTTATTCATTGGCGACAATAAGCACCACTGCATTATTAACATTTACCTTCTAAAATGCTCTTCATTCCAGACCAGCAGGATATAAATTATCTTGAATTAAGCCAACGGCACACGATACTATTTTTCCTACTGGATTGCTTACGAGAGCCAATCAGGATTTAACTTTGAGTCACCTGATCTAAAACTCTGCATCCTTATTGGTTCTCGTAAACAGTCCAGTAGGAAAAATAGTATCGTGTGCTGTTGGCTTTTGCTTTATTGTTCCCCTTAGGGAACAATAAAACTTTTACAGACTTATACCTAAACTTATTCTAACTTATTCTAATTTATCCTACATATCCTACATTTTAACAATTTAACACGCAAACACTTTATAAGAACTTGATACAAACTATCAATTTTGGTTGTAATAAATGTACAAACATTTTAGTCGATCCGTCTCTGCTGTGCGATTAGATTCGATGCCATGCACGACACGTAATACACGCTGCATGTGTGTACACGCATGTGTTAACGCAACGCGTGTTGTGTGTATGTGTGTGTGTGCGCGCGCGTTACGACGTATGTGTATCGCTCTCTCAGTTCGTATGCACATAAATAAGCTTAGCTTATAAACTGTACGATTACGATTTCAACGAGTGCCGCTTTTTATTCTGGATAAAAGAGTGCGCGCATACGTACAGTTGTTCTCCAGTGGCCATGGTCGCTTATCGCACTCACATTTGCAACGTGTCATAGTTCACGAATTCTTTCCGCAGCCAATCCGTCGTTTATCGAGCGGCTGTGCTCTTGGAATTATACGCGCGACGCCAACTTAAAACGCAAATATTCGTAATACTACGAGGCGCGACACGCGGAAACCTATCATGCGCATGACGAAAACGCAACGGTGAACGCCAGATATTAATCATTAAATCGGAAACGGGCAGAGCCCGTCCGCTTTGCGGCCTGTACTATACGTAACATCGAGAAATAATAACCGAGAGATTATGAAACAAGAGGAATTAGCAACGTATATCGCAAGTGGAATTTGACGTGGGGAATAATGCAGGTTTAAATGCGCGAGACAAGTTCTGGCAACGGCGATCGACGCGAAATATACGCAGGGTGGAACGTGGAGTTTTGAACGATGGCCAACTTGAGCAAAACTTAACGCGACTCCGAGATCAGATTTAATCTATCGCCCACACGAGGCTGGGCGTTTCTAGGCGACCGCTCGTCTCGTTTTCGCCAGCGAGCTTGATCCTTTCATCTCCGCGAGTCAAGCGAGAAAATTGAAAAGCTGTCTGGCGTGATTTCCGACGCGCTTATGCTCTTCGTGTTTTCGCTTATTTCGCGTTTATACAAATAACTAAATCTCGTTGTTCGAGCAAGATACGTAATAACAGCACGAGTATTGGGTCGAAGACAAAATATCACATGGGACACTGGTAAATAGAGACTTGACCCATCTATCTTCTTTCTCTCGTTGTTCTTTATCAGTCCTATGGAACCTCCTTCCCGTCGGCCGTGCCTGTGCATAAAGTACGTGGAAGGAGAGCGCGGAAAGCGAAGGCTACCACAGCCGCGCGGGCGAGCGCGAGGGAAGAAGAGAGACAGAAATGGTCGACGTACATCATTTGGGCGCCGAGAAGTCTGGCGCGACCAAGCCAGGCCAGAGGCACGTCTTTGGTTACGCGACTATTTGGGGCGCCAAGCTGGTGGCCGCGGCGGTGCGACGGGGGGATATCGTGGATGGACGGCGGGGCAAGGGGAGGGCGTAGGTAGGCGTCCGAGCAACGTCCACCGCGTCGAGGAGAGACTCGGGCAGGGCCGAGAATGAGGAGAAAAGAGGGAGGTTGCCGAAGGGGCCTCCGCAAGCCACATTCCAGAAGAACGCGAGTTTTCAAACATGCCTGGCCTGCGTGAATGTAGGTCCATGACCGATCCTATAGTACGCACACAACCATCTCTTACGGTCTCTGCGAGCTGCGAGTTGCACCCGTCCCTCGTCTCGTCTCTCCTACGTCCACCGCTCCAACGATTCCCCCTATGGCACGTCTCTTCCCTCTTAGTGCCTGCTCTATCGCACACAGACAGACGCGTGTACACACGTGCACGTAAGCTCTCCCTTCTTCCTTCTCCGTCAGGCTCTCCCTTTCCTCGTCCCTCGCGCTAACCCGGACGACCAGGCCGACCGAGCTGGCGACACCCTGTCTGGCAAGACCGGCCGGCGGACAAAAGAGGGGGCGCCTGCTACGTTGCCACGTCCTCTATCTTCGTGCTGCGCCTACCTTCGGCCCCAAGGACAAATCCGACGAGCCGTGCCAGCCGTCGAGGCGCACTAGGCGACTGCCGGTCTGCTGCTGTTTCGATGTTTTCCTTATGATACTTGTCGCCGATATTATTCTCCGCGAATACTCTTGTTTGCTAGCTAGAACGCGAAAGACAGGGCGGACGGAATAGATGGATAAAAAATGCAAGCGGTAACATGTGGAGACAGCTACAAAACTATGCGATCGCTCCAACTATGTAATCAAATAAAAAGATTTCGTAAATTATTCGTTAGAGTGCCCAACGTCGTCGCGATGCAATTGATATTATTATCAGTTGCTCATGCGTGGCACAACGACAGGAAGATCTCGGTGTTTCGCGAGCGCAGGTAGTGAAATACTTGAACGATGAGTCGGTCCGCATAACACGAAGGCCGATCCACGCAGAGAGAAGGCAGGTGCCTTCTTGCTGCACAGCGGACGCGTTCAAAAGCAGGCCTGTGATCGCGATGAGCGGACACAAGAATAGCCGCCGTGATTCTTGGAAATAGAGTAGGGTGCCTCTTCAGAGAACCGCGAGAGAAAGAGAGAGAGAGAGAATTCGTCGGCATCCTTGGTTTCTGCCGGTGGCGCGAATCGTGGAAATTTACGAGGCCTCGTCCGCTTCTTTTTATCGGTCTATCTTGCTCACGCGCTCGTTCATCGAAGTATATGCGAGCGTGCGGCTTGCGTCATTGCCTCGCGGGTCTCTCCGCGCGCGCGTTCGTATGCGTTGCGGCCTACGTGCGGCTAAGAAGAGACATGGCAACGGCGCGTGAAGCTAAACATATTAACTGTCGGCTCACGCCACAAAAACAACATGATCTCATTCCACGGCGCATATGCAAGAGGCTATCGTATATACCTCAAAATTTCATTCAAAGGCAGCCTCGACGGCGCGAAAGGAAATAGACGAGAGGAAGGGAAGGAAGAAGAAAAAATAGAAGTGGAATTCCTCTCGTAAAAAAAACATCTTCCACGTACGAACGTGCACATAATAAATAGTTAATGGTACAAATTGAAGGACCACTAGTTTCACAACTAGGGAAAATAATTCCAATTCTACTTTACCGTCGAGTTGTAAGACAGGCGATTTCTAATTCAATAAGCCTAACATTAGCCGTGAGCCATAAGCGTTTTTCCTGGAAGGCAAAATCCCCTCACCCACTAGCCGCTTTAACCGACTGCAAAACTTCCTGCGCTACCGCTGAGTCGGACATGCGTGTGATATTTATATATATATGTGTATATATATATATATTGTAATGTCTATATCGCGACATACGTTCGCGACCTGAAACTACATATCTAGTTTTTCGAGGAACAGATCGTGAAATTGATCGCGATCTGTTTTTCAATTTTATGCGACGTTTACCATTCGTAATGTCAACGGACGTTGCATACGCAACGTAACGAATTATATAAAAAAAAGTGCGGAATGTTGCATTCCGCGTGTGTTCGGCCTCGTGCTTTGAGAAGTCGAACGGAGACAGGATAAGCTTGAAGAGAAAGGCGAACAAAAATCGGGGCTCCATGCTGGCTGCCGCTGCGAACTGCTAAGCGGCACGCAAGCAGGCAGGCAGTCAGACGTTCGCAGCAGACAACATGGCGCCGAGAGCGTCGTCGTCGTCACGCCGGCGTGACGTTTCCCGCGCGCGTCATTAACGGAAGTGAGCCCACAAAATGGCGGAGTTTTACGGCGCTGAGGTGTGAAAGGGAAGAGAGAAAGGAGAGAGGAGGGTGTCTGTGCCTGCGGGCAGTTAGGTAGGCGATCGAGGCAGAATGACGAGAGATCCCGTAGAAAGAGAGGAGGTTAGGTTGGTGGCATAGAGAAAGAAGAATGACTGGTAGCCGCCTTCGGCGGTGGACTAGCGTGCTGTACGAATGGGGCAACGATGTGTCGAGGGGGCGACCATTAGATAGAAAGAGGGAAAACGACGAGAGCGATACGCTGAACGCAGATAGCGCCAAACGAAGTGGCGAGCGGGTGGGGGCACCTAGTGGAAAGGCCGGGAGTGCGAGGAGAGAGGCTCGAAGGAACGAGAGAGCGAGAGATGGCGATAGAGCGGAGGGGAAAGACCAGTGAGAAGCAGCGGCGGTCTCGCCGGTGGGGATGAAAATTAGTTACGGCATCCAAGACCTAAAAGGAACTCAGGCGCCGCACGGTCAGATCGCATCGTGCAATGTTAAGCGTTAAGGTAGTCTCGCGCGTCGTTGACAGTGCCGGTTTCGAAATTTGTAGCAACTGTTACCTACATTATCGTTGTGACTTGGACTCGTGGTCAACGTGACGGCCATTGCTACAGGTGCGAAAAAGTGATATGTGTGTGTGCGTGTGTAATATTGATAAGTAATAAAATCCGCCTTATAACGTGAGTAAGATGATCGGTGAGGACAACTCGGTGAAAATGATTCAGTCAAAGCACCAGCAATCGGTGCATCAGCCACACCAGCAGCAGAATATGCGAAAATCTGTGGGCGTTATGGGCACCAGGCGTATTTTCACAACAGCCTTTAAAATTAAGGTGCTGGACTCCTACAGGCACGACAAAGACTGTAGGCAGAATCAGCGTGCCACCGCGAGAAAATACGGTATTCATCGTCGTCAGATACAGAAATGGCTGCAGTGCGAGGAGCAGCTTAGAAATAGCGTCGAAAATGGGAATACCGGAGCCGTCTCGTCGGCAAGCGCCTCCCCCACGAGCGTTTCCAAATCGGAAAGTGCAGTAACGGAAGCCACGGGGAGTGCCGTGACTCCAGCAACGTCGGCCTTGAACCTCAACCTCGCCAGACAGCACGGCGACGAGCTGGCTACACAGCAAGGGCCCCCACCTTCGCATCCTCCGCATGGCAGTGCACCCTCCTCGCCCCAATATAGCCTTCAGACTACTACCACCGGCACGGTTTTGCCCTCATGTGTAACATCTGTAGGCTATCAAGAATATTCACCGGAAGAACGTTTTCGTTTGTTCGAGGAGAACAGAGCTCGCGTATCGGAGGTTCACGGATACCCGGACACGCAAACGGATCAGGACCGTAATTACTATGTGTTGAACGGAGACGGGCAGCGAGATTCAGAGGTAGCTTCAGCGTTCGCTGGCAGGAATGAGGTGAAGGTATATCAGACTTTGACGAGTTATCGTTCACACCATCGGGAGCATCCTCGATATAACGTGAACGATAATAGCGAACGTAATCATTCGCCGAATCATCATCATTCGCAACATCGAGTGCAAAATTATGGGAATGCCGATTCATTCAACGGGAGTTCGTTCAACATGCTACTAACGCCGTTGATGATAAAGACAGAGCCAGCGAGTCCAGACACAGCGGCGACGCCAGGTCTGTACGAACCGACGGGCTCTCCCAGCGGCCCACGGGCCCCACTCTCGCCGGTATCGCATCGAGGCGCCGATAGCGGTGGTTCTTCGTCGAACGTTCACTTGATTCCTCACGAGCTTGGTTCTTCTCCTGCGAGCCCATACTTGCACGCGCTGCACGCGCTGCACGCGCATGAGCACGCACACACGTGCCCATCGCTGGATTCCGAGAAGCCGATCCCATCGCTCCAGCACGAGCAAGAGAGAGAACCGGAGGAGACTACACGGCATACCGAAGTGAAGAGGGAGGAAAAGGAACAGGAGGAGAGACTCTGCAGGACGTTGATAAAAGAAGAAGTGGACATAGAAGAGACGTGTGACGAGGGGGAAGAAGTAACTGCATTTTCGTGCGTCGATTATCAACGACCACCTGTTGGCGGGTCGTCGCCTGATAGTTCAGGATTGGTAAGCCCTACGTACGATCGCAATGGTTACTCCTTGCCTTCGAGTCCTCGTGATTCTGCCAGCGCTGGGCGATCCAGAAACAGCTTGTCGGATAGTGAGATGGATCCTCTCAATTCCGCCAACAGCTCCAATTTATCTGGCAATTTTACTCGCAGGCGATCTTTCCCCCTGCGTTTTAAACTCGATGTTCTCAATGCCTTCCATCGGGACAAGGATGTAAAGGAAAATCAACGAGCTACCGCGAGAAAATTTGGTATAAATCGTCGACAGGTACAAAAATGGCTGGAACAAGAGTCGGATCTCAGAGATGAGATCGCCCTTCGGGGAGACTCGCGTCAACGGTTGGGTCCTATCCAAGATGTCGCTTCCAACAACGATCAGTGTGACTCACCGTTGGATCTGACGACGTCAAGTTACACATCGTTACAAGTTTCGAATTGTATTTCATTGTTGCGCGGCCGACTCGAGAAGGAACACGAACGATTGCCAGTGCACATTAACGAGGATGGTTTTGTTGCTTTTTTACATCCCCCAAGTTACGAAATCTGGACCGGAGGGGAACCATCCTCTGAGTTAGAAACCTTAACGGTTTGCGGTAATCTATCTTGCTCCGTAGACAGTCATACTACTACGTCGACAACATCTTCTTATCAAGAGTTGTCTTTAAGAGAATCTTTATTGAGAGAATGTTACACGGAGCCTTCGATCAAAACACATTGCTATTCGTCCAGAGCGAACTCCGTGGTTTCTAATTTTTCTGAAGGATGTGAGCAAAGATTTTCACCTTTGAAGAGACAGCATTGCACGCTTCCTTCCTGCTGCGATGCGATGCCGTCGTCGAAGAGATTCTGCGAAAGGTATCCTGAAGTGGACGACCCCTACGATGTACCTCAAGACACGCCTCTTTGTCTCGTAAAACCAAAATTAGCACAAGAACTCTCTCGAACAGAATTGATTACGAAAACGATCAATCAGTCAATCAGTACTTCGAACAATCCTGATGCCATCACTTTCAAGCCTTACCTAGATAATCCCGTGAGTAAACCCGTGAAGAAGTGCGCCGTTCAGCGCGACTTATCTCCTATCAGCAACCATAGTAGCAATAATAATAATTGTCAGCTAATTTGTAACTTCAATGAGGATCAAAGTCGTAATTATGACATCGAGCTTAATCTGCGAGTGCCTGTTTCTTGGGGACCCTCTACAGATGTGTATAGAATTCCCTGTACAGAATTTCCGCGGAATTCATTCTTGCGTCCATCACTTTACATGTAGTTTCTTTTCGGAATTCCTAGCTGTTGATGATTAATCGCTGACTGTGGAAAACCACAGGCTCTTGAAACAACCATCGATCGTAACCATATTTCTTTCATTTCATTCTGTACAGATGTGTTTCTTGAAACATGAAAAGTAACACGATAACGATCGGATTTGCATTACAGTCAATTAGCTTGGGGGTGTAAAAATCGGACTTGCAGGTCTCTCGGGTGAGAATGTACCGGCGAAAGATCGATTGGTGCGTGATCTACTACACGTAGCACACCACGTAAGCACTTATCGTTTCCACGGATCGTCGGTACCGCGCTATACATCGCGATAAAGTCTTAATCGGCCATTGGACGACCCGAGGCGTGGAAGGAGATTATACATAGTCGCGTCCTCGACTGGCGTCTTCTTCTAACTTCACCAGACCTGCTCTTTTCCCCTCTACCATCCTCTCGCGCCACTCAAAAAATTGCGTAGATATCCTGGCGGATCTTTTTCCACCACTTTATCATCGAGATTAGAGACCGGTGGTTATCGGCTAGGCCGTTTAGAGGTCGAATTTGCTTGCTATAATTATAGAATTATGTCAGAAAGCGCAGCCATTGCGTTGCACCGAAAGTAAGTTCGCGGAAAGAAATGTTTGAGCCGAAGTATCATGAAATACAATGATTCTGTTTTTACAGCATAATATGTAACAAGTGTAACAAAACAGGCACAATTTTTAGTTTAACAAATTTTGTTTGTTTTGTTTCTTCTATTGGCATTACGTATTATGCTGTATAGATGCATTGTGCAGACAAAAGCGACACTTTCAGGCCGTGTTTCTTCCATTTTGCCTAGTTTTCTAAGGAAAGCTATCCGCCGTCGGGCGTTGATCGGACGATTTCTTGGTAGCACGCCACCCATAGCTTTCCGCGAACTGGTCGCGCGATCTCATTCGTCACTGGTCGTGAATATGCATTCGATCTGCAGAAATCACTTAATTGCTCAAACAACTTCTTCCATGTGCGCACATATGTGTATGTCACACGCGCGCATATCACTTTATTGTACAATGGAACTTTGTCATTTCCCTTATCTTCGTTTAACAGTTGTTGTCTATTTCTTGCTTTCGTGTTTTCATTGTTCTCTCTTACATGGCCTCCCTGTAAAATATTTGTATATGTAAATATTGGAAGAAACCGATAAGACGAAAGAATTGACATTATTAAAGTCGTTGCATCGAAGATTTCTACGATGTATATATGTATTATAATGTTATTAATTTAATTATAATATAGTAATATAGTTATTACTTTAACGCGTTTAGAGTTTAATCGATTCTTCCGTTTGGGAGAAATGATCTATTTTTGTATGATTCCATCTGAAAGAATGAAGAGAAAACTACGAGATAGATGATAATTCGAAACTAATTACTTTCATCAAAAACACCTCTCGTGCCTTCTTTTTCGATGTAAGACATGATGTGAATCATTTTTATGCATGATAAAGACACATATATTTATACGCTTATAATAACGCATATATTAATATTTTTAGAGGATAATAAATACAGTAGAAAGCGCGAATAAAATTCACTCGTTGTGCACCTCCTCTCTACAAATTAATTTGCCGGATAGTGACGAAAATGGCATGCGATTAGACAAGTATTAATGACAGGAAGTCATTGCATATTTGTTGAACGTAAAACGATGGTGATTAATTTGCTAGTTGACATTAAAAACGAACGAGGTGAGTAAACGGGATTAAAAAGACACGCGCGCGAGGACGGCTTTGAAAAACAAAAAAACACGTGCCTTAAATGTAATATATTAATATTTTACTTTGTATAATTGTGCGTACGAGATATCGTGCGACGGCAACTCATGCGTTGCAAGACAAATCAGTATATGTATATCAATGTATATCATACCATATTGTAGAATATTATTGTTGAACATTGTAGAATATTATATCTGAAATAAATTTAGTGTTTAGCATAGATCGAGGTAGAAGTTATTGTTATAATGATGACTTCATATTATCTATGTACAACTTATATAGTTTAAATTATAAAAGTTTTCTTTGTGTGCATAAGACATCGACAATTGACGTCGAGTAATTCAGACGATAAGAGCGCTATGTATCAGCATCGAGTCAACGTTAAATATCATGTGAACAATAAAAAACGCGCACGGCGAATACTGTCATTTGAAATATTCAAGTGTCTGACAATCAATGATGATACTCTTGTTCAACCATCTCTTCACAGACGCAGAGAAACCGTTTCAGACTTTTTACTGAATATAATTACCTACTTAATTCTTGAACCTTACTTTTTATTCGAAACCGTCTTCGTTTAAGAGAAAAATATTCCAACTGTAAGATTTTCTTTGTTCTTTTATATATTGCGTAGTTCATTTATATGAATGAATTTTTGAAATATTTTTCTTCATAAAATTATTTCTAGCTCTCAAGATTTTTCACTTGTGAAGTTGTTGAGAAAGAGCTGAGATTGTTAATATTAAAAATTTTTTATTTTTTTTATTCTCGCATCGAAAGAGACAGCTGAACAATCGTAACAAGTGTAAGTGAAATAGTCTTATTGTTAATGAACTCGTTCGCAGTGAACTGAGATCGAGATGCATTCGATCCTCGAGTAGATAAGCGACCTTCTTCATGTTTGACTTTGCTGGCGAATTATCAGAGGGGAAGTTTTGTGAATCATCGTTAGTTGATCGTGAAGAAAACTTGTATTTGTAGATTGTAAGAGATATCTTCCTTAGATCGGAAAAAAATATTGTGATATTGATCATAGTGTAACGTGGATTTTCCTCAATTTCCTCGTATCAGCTGATTAAATTATGAAACAATCATATGGCATTTAAAGTAAATGCTGAAAACAGAAGAAATTCTAACAAGTTACGAGATAGTGAATTCACAGAGATCGTTAATATTTTAATTATCGAAGTCAAGGAAATTGATATATCGAGTGAATTTCTAAACAATCAAGCGGTTGCCAGGCGACAAGCAAGAAGGGCAATTTTGTAAATCACTGCTGCAGACAGGGCAGTTACGTTAATGTTTCAATATTCACGCTTAATCGAGCTCATTCATGGTGTGGCATTATCCAACGCGATTGCCCGCGCGATCGCTTCGTACCGAGCTCTAATTTATCGTCTCACAAGTAATAAATTCATGACAAGATAATTACCATAATTACCCCCACGAAGATGTATATCTCGTATCATGTTGTATAAAAAAATATTTCCTCTATATTCTGTCCAATTCGTTTTGTCCGAATAGAAAGAAATATCAATTTTGCTTAACTTTGTTTTAACTTTTCATATTTCGCATTAAATGTACGATAAACATTTGCAACTCATTAATTTATCGTTGCGTGTAATAGAATATATCTCTTTATTATCGTAGAACAATTCGCCAGCCAAGTCCGAGGATCGAAAGGTAGAAAGGTAAAAAGGTGAAACAAGGGGGAAGTGTGTTTTTTGTACCTTGTCCGCGATCGCTAATAGTGGTCAAGGCGGCAGTGTACGATAAAAAAATTTTGATTAGCGTAATTAGTGTAATCGTAAGCCATAATAAGTTACATAATGCCATAATACATTTTATGTAATAAGGATATGACTGACAAATATAATAAGGATATGACGGGCAAAATTTTTGATCGCACGAAAAATAAATCGTCATCGTGGAGTATCTTGTATGTATGTGTGTGTGTGTGTGCGTGCGTGTGTGTATCAGTGTAAGTGTGCACGCGTGCCTGTTTGATTGCGTATGTGTTGGTATGTTGTAGTACGTGCGTCACGTACACACTGCAGCCCACAAGAGTCCGTTAACGAGAGGCATAAAGCGTGTACAAGCAATATTTTTTAAGTGCCTAAAAGGGGGAGTCTCGTGGGCGAGCCCCCGCGCTTTTATAGTCAGTACAACATACAAGCAAATATGTTGTATGCATGATGTTTGCATTGTACGTGTACAAAGAAAATTTACATTTATCATATGCAATACAAGTCGCACATAGTATATATATATACACTGAAAATTATATTTTGATACGGTCAACTTACAATGCGCCTCTAAATTCGTCAGGTGCCTTCGAATTGCTCGTGCCTTGCGGTTCTCGCGTGAGGAGAAATCAAGAACCAAAAGCATATTTATCGTATCATATTTGTGCAAAATTGCGCGGAAATAATGTCCCAGTGTTCTCCTCGCGCACAATATCAGTATTTCAACTATTCCCTATTTATTGCTGTATTGTATCGCGACGACATGAAGATTCACCGACCCCGTAACAGGATCTAGTAGACGGCCCCGTGCGCGCCATCACCTCTAATGCCTTTCCGATCACATCGCAGAAACCTCGGGGTTTCTCCTCTTGTCACACTCTTGCGTGCAATCAATGTAATTCGCACGGCCGAAGACTCCACGATTGCCCGGCGCTGCGTCGCTTATCAACGTGTTATCGTTCGTTTATTAGCACGTACGTGGTCAACGAGTCGAGAAAAAAAAAGAAAGGAAGCCTTCGCCGTGTGGCAGCTCAAAAAAAAACGCGACAGTCGTAGAATCGAACGGTTTATCGACATTTTCATTTTGCAAACGATCACGATAATGTTGTCAATTTTATATTTCATTGCACGCCTTTTTTCTCATTATCGAGCTTCGTCCGAAACGACCACATCCGTCTTTGTGATTTATCGAGAGGAAACGAATGGAAGAATAACAGAGAGAGGGGGAGAGAGAGAGCGTGTGTGTGTGCATGCGTATGTGTGTGTGTGGGGGGGGGGGGGAAGGGGGTACATCCCTGGCAGAGTATCGGAGAGCGAGAGTGAAAATGATCTTAGTGCGAGGAGTGCGAGAGAAAGGCATCGAGATACGAATCCTCTTTTTGTACGTTAAGAAACGCAAGAATAATTGTATTAAATATTGTATTATATACACACATGCCTAGAGATTGTATGAAGCGCGCCAAACAACAGGTAACTGCCCGTTTTGGCACTCGCATTGTTTCGACACGCTTCATACGATATAGAATCTTTAAAATTTGAGAGAAAATATAAGAGATTATTTTAAAAGAATGCTCCTCTGTTATTATTGCACCTATTCATCGCATTAATTTTTTTTACGGTTATCCTCATCCGTTATCGCTTGCGAGTCTTATTATAGAATTGTTCGCCACTACTAATGTGAATTGAAAAACTCTCTGATGACGTGATGATAGAACTGTTAATTTGAGATAAAATATATATAATTTACATGAATAATAAGATACGCTGGTCTACATCTGCCCTAATGCCCCATCGTGATATCCATGTGGAATCCACCACTAATTGGCCCAGTGTGGACACAGACACCTATAAAATGTATAAATAACCTCCAAGATAATAATGTGATTGAAAAGAAGAAAGAATCTAAGCGGTAATTAAGCGAAAAGTGTGCAACAAACTTTTGTTATCCGCGTCATCCAGCCCTAAATAATCGTAAAATCACAGAGAAACCCAATTGCGATAAGATATGTGTATAGATTTATAATTTTTTTCTTAATAGATGAATAAGTACTCGCGAACTTATCGACGAACTTGTCTTTGCGTGGTAAAATGTGTGTTCACGGAATTTCGATCGAATGCATGCGATTAAAGTTTTACTCATTCACCACTATTTGGTCGTAACATCAGCTGAATCAAGGAAATAAACGTAATAACGTTCATAACTCTTGAAAATCTCTCTCAAAACCTCTCAAAATTGATATTTTTGCAAACACTGCGACAACTCATTTATGTCGAAAGTTAATTATCCCGTTTTTGGAGGAAAGTGATATGTGTGGCGGGATACTCTTGGTAGTTTCCACTTCTCTCCAAGAGAGAGGTAGCGTCCGAAAAAACCAGCGGTATCCGTGAGATTTGAACTCGGATCTTCTCGTTCATTTGTTTACCCGAAAAAGTATATCAAATCAATCTTTTGAGATTATTTCGTAGATATGAACCGAATGATAATCGTTAACAGAAAAAAGTTTCTACAAATTTCATTGCAATTTGCAGCAAGTTGAAGCTTGTAATAAGTTGCTACATTTTCCACAAAATTATTAAATGCCGTCGGCCATGCGCGTTATCTGTCATATTAATACGCGACATGCATTAATCTTCCCTGGGACTCCGACAAGCCGTATGTATTTTTTTTTATCTAAAAAGACACGATTTTATCGAATTGCTCGAAGAAAGCGTATTGCACTGCCACATTTGACGCAATAGCTCTTTCTTCTACTGATATGATTCACGAGGCTTCTCTCACGCGATTCAACAAATCTTACAGGCATTTATCTTCTCGCCGAGCGTTTCAGTATAGTTACTACGTGACGCAGTATGAGAGAAAAGTTCCATTCTCTCGTTACATCGATTCACGATCCGGTATTTCCGCTTGGATCATGAAACAACGATGAGTTGGAAAATTTCGTAATGTTACGAATTGACTTTCGCTATTATTCTCGCTTTAACCTCTCGCGGCTTCGAAATTATTTTTATCGCAATATTGATAAACACTACGTCATTTCTATCTTGTAGTAATCAAGGCCATCTGCGAGTCCATTCAGTTAAATTAATTTTGTCCCGCGAACATTCCAATCTTTCGCGTTTTTGTTATGTTAGGAACAGAGGGTACATGAGTTTATTCTATTCTGTACAAATTTTAAAAAGCTCTACATGTGTTGCCGTTCTTTTTCTAGGTAATTAGTAGCAACAGTATACACCGGGAAAACAAAAATATAGCAATAAAATTTATATTATAATAAATATTATATTATAATAAAAGCAAGAAAAGAAGTAAAAGACGTACGTTTTTTTCCCCCCGATTAAGAATCGCGGCGATAAAGGGAGCTCGTAATTTTTATATCTTTAATTAAGGACTTGTTCTTCAACCGAGAGCATTTCCAGCGATTGATCGCGGAGGGACAGGTAGAGGAAGTCGGTTCTCAAGTATAAGAGACACCGAGTTGGAACTTGACTCCTCTTGGCAATTAGCGATTTACGTAATTTCGCGCACGAAGTCTCGCAGACTGCGCTTCCGAGGAAGAACGCGCTCGCTCGCTTCGATATCTCTCGGACGGGGCCCCCGGCTACCCGTCTCACCGCGCGGATTAGAGGCGCGATGGAGATAAGCGCGAGCCAAGTCATGGAGGCTCACGCACATCGGCGCGGTCCCCGTGCACCGATACCCTACGCCGATGTGCCGATTGCATTGTTTCCGTTATCGCGCCCGGCTGGATTGGCGGCTCGCGCAACCGCGCCGCGGCCTCCACGCGTTTCAGCTTCCCGGGCACGCATCGGGCGTTCGAATTCGCGTAAAGCCCGTGTCACGCTACGTATAGCCCGTATCAGACTACGGATTGAGATTGGGATGAGATTGAAATGTGACCAATCATAGTAAAGTTTACTAATCTCAAATTTAGTAACGTTTATTCTAATTGGTCAAATTTCAATCTAATCTCAATCTCAATCCGTAGTCTGATACGGGACTTATTGCAGATCGCGGATCGCAATTCAACCAATCGGGTCCGAGGCTGTCTCGTCTGATTGGCTGAAATGTGATCCGCGATCCGCAATCTCAATCCAATAGCAATCAGCAATACGTAGTGTGACACGGGCTTTAAGCTAGCGCCACACTATGCGCAATTCGTAGTGCGCGATTCGTGATTCGTGATTCACAGGAATTCGTTGGACATTCCTTATTACTTACCACACTATTCGCGACTCGCAGTTTATCATTCGTAATTTGTTATTTGTCGTTTTGTTCGTGTTAACTTGGACAACTTTTAAACTTAATCTGTTATCACAGGATTTGTATCATAGGTCTACAATTAGTCAAGTTTCAATATTAGTAAAAGCAAACCACTATTTTCGTCAAAAAATCGTTCGGCTAGCGAACCACTGCGAATGGCGAATTGCGCACGGCGAATCGACGAATTTTTCCTCCACGCTATTGACGAATCACGAATTGCGTATAGTGTGGTGCTGGCTTAACACGGTAGCGCACGCACGCACGCACGAGGCTTTTGGAGAACGTTCCCTCGCTCCCGTTCGCTCCGTTTCTCGATCCTCGAAGTCGCTCCGTCGTGTAAATCTTTGATTCCACAAACAGTCTCAATCTCGGTTTCCTTTTCAGAGATTTATAACACGCGCGATATAGCTTGTCTCGTACGCGGGAGTTCAAATCGCGAGCGAGCGAGCGACGTGGAATGCGTACCGCACCGTGAATTCCTGCTATGCAAATGCATGATTTATTACCGATGTTTATCGTCGCGAGCCCGGTAACGGGGAATAAAACGCTCACCATTAAAAGGAAAGGAAAATATAGACCGCGAATGACACACGCGCGCGCGCGCGCGCGCCGAGTCTTCGCGGCTAATAGTGATGATGATTGACCAGCAAATGTCACTTATATCCAGTATGGGAGTAATAAAACATTAATGAATTTTATAAATAGTAGAAACGCTCCGGCTCAGATATTAGGAAGGCCTAGGTTCGAATCCTGGAAGAGGTAATACTCATTGTAATAAATTCTTTACAGGTCATTTCTAGAGAATGCTTATTCAGCATTATTATTAAATTGTTTATTAATTCAATTAGGTAGGCTGTTTCGATGTCAACTTCAGGCTGCGTTTCGAGAAC